ACTTGACTATTAAAGCAGATCAGCTTTTTTGCATATTATGTTTGATTTGATTATTTTAGATTACAGTAAATATATGGAAATCGTACATGTGAACTGGTGATAAAGCAATGAATATGGAAGCGATCTTCGCAGTAATAAACACTCCTTAAGCAGTGGTGAAAATAAACTGTGAGTGCAGAAATAGACAAACTACCTGACTTCGTTCAACGAGTTAAAATGGTATAACTACCGAAAACAGTTAAATTGCAGAAAATTCAAAATCTAGCTACATTGCATTAAGTATTTAAAATGGTTAAACTAGCTAAAACAGGTGAACTGGACAAAGTGCGCAAACCAGCATAATTGGTTCAACTGGTTGAAATGGTGAGCTAATTTGTGCATTCCGTCCAGGTGAACCATTTATGACTATCTTAACCAAATGAACCAATTCGGCTAAATTGTGCAGTTTGTCCAGTTTAACTATTTCAGCTAATTTGATTATGTTAACTAGTCAATCTAATTTGAGCTGTTTTAGTATTTAATTCAGTGTAACTGGTTTAGTTAGTGTGAGCATTTACATAACCAGTTGAAGTAATTCTGGTAGTTTGCACATTTTGTGCAATTTATCCGTTTTGGCTAGTTTGATCATTTCACCTAGTTAAGCTAATTTAGTCTGTTTGTACACTTGTGCAATTTAACTGTCTTAGCTAGTTTGACCTTTCTAACAAGTTGAATTCATTCAGCTAGTTTGTGCGTTTTGGGCAGTTTTAAGGTTTAAGCTAGTTTAACCATTATCACCAGTTTAACCCATTCAATTTTTTTCGTTTGGGTTTTAACTTTATAGTGAGTTTGACCATTTTAACCGCGTGAGTCAATTCAGCTAGAGTTTCGTAGTGTGTTTAGTTTGCCCTTTTAATATCCTCCCACTTCTATCTGTTGAGACCATGTTGCTCTTGTTTAGGCAGAAATTTGCTGTCTAAAAGAAAAACGGAAGTTACTGTCTCATGTCATCATGAGTTAGGGGAATTAATATCTCCTGTATTCTCAGTTCATAAGAAACATGGTAATGTGAGACTCATGATTTAAAAAAGTTAAATACTTTTGTTAAAAACTCACATTTCAAAATAGAGTCTTTTTATACAAAGATTGATGATTCTTCCAATTTTGGATTATTGGGTTACTGTTTTCCGTGGATGTGGCATAGGCAATGAAGAAGGTCTGGAATGCCTACAAAGATGAGGTGGTGGAGTGGTGCTGAATAATGCCCATTTGTCCACCGAACAAATGGTCATAGGTCTCGTTTGGGTCACTCTTAAAAAAAGAAGAACCACATTGTTAAACTGGTTGAAAAGTACCTCAAGGGAATGGCCCTAAGTTATTTCTCCAAACATTTTCAAATTAAAAGACGTAATATTCATTATTATGACATTAGAAACAAGAACAAACTAGTTACTGATAAGGTTAAAGTAGAATCGACTAAAAGATCGTTCTTTTATAAAGGGGCAGATATTTTTAATGATTGTGTATCAATCTAGTTCCAATCTTTTTTCTCTTTTTATTTATATATTTTAAGATTCCTTAGATAGTTTTTTAAATTTTTGCTTACTTTATCTTTTATCTTATTAATAACTCATTTTTCCATTTTACGCAGGACCCATATTGATAGCAGTCTTTGTAACTGAAATAGTCATCCTACATAGACATGTTTTATTATTATTATTATTATTATTATTATTATTTATTCAGCTAGTTTGTGTACTTTGTGCAATCTAACCGTTGCCGCTAATTTCAGCATTTTCATCACTTGGAACAATTTAGCTACTTTGTGCATTTCGTGCAATTTAACAGTTGTAACTAGTTTGAGCAATTAAACCCATTGAATTAATTCAGCTAGTTTGTGTAGTTTGAAATTTAATCGTCGTAGCTAGTTTGACCATTTTAACCCGTTGAAGCAATTCACTTAGTTTGTGCGTTTTCTACAGTTTAACCTTTCTAGCTTGATTAAGCATTTTAACCAGTTGAACCAATTAACCTATTTTGTGTATTTTGTTCAGGTAGTTTAAGCATCATAAGCAGTTAAACTGCGCAAAAAGCACAAGCTTTTTGCGCAGTTTAACCATTTCAGCTTAGCTGAGCATTTTAACCCCCTGGACCAATTTCGCCTAGTTTGTGCAGTGTGTGCAGTTTAACCGTTGTCAGTTTAACCATGTAACCAGTTTAAGCAATTCGTTTAGTTTGTCCATTTGTTTAGTTTAACCCTTTAAGGAAGTTTAAGCATTTTGAGCAGTTCAATTAATTTAGCCAGTTTGCGCATTTTTAACAGTTTAACCGTTTAAGCTAGTTGCAATATTTTTCACCCCTTCTGCAAATTCACCTAGTTTGTAATTTTTGTGGAGTTTCACCGATTAAGCTGGTTTAGTTTGAAATATGTTTCTCGTTTTGTCAGGAGCGTCCTCACGCGGAATCGAACCTCATACCTTCGGATTTCCGCGCTCCGATGCTTTATCACTGAGTCAACGGGGGCTCTACTGTGAGCGAGGTCTATCACAAAGTTCATATGACACGCGTCCTGCTTACTGTTTGGATCAGCAAGTTTTGAGTTCAGTATGAACTTCTTGGCTCAGTGGTAGAAAAATATCTTTCTGTATTTCTTTACCGAGCTCAAAACTTACTATCTCTCTTATTCTATTGATTAATTGAGCTAGTTTCTGCATTTTATACATTTTATCACTGTGTGAGTGATTTTGAGCGTTTAACCAGTTGAAACAACTTGAACCAGTTGAGATAATTTTCACCGGTTGAAAAAATTTACCTAGTTTGTGCATTTTGTGCAGTTTAACCGTTGAAGGTGGTTTGTGCATTTTGTGCAGTTTAGCCGTTGGAGCTGGTTGTGCATTTTGTGCAGGATTACCATTCTAGGTAGTTCAAGCATCTTAACCAGTCAAATTGGTTCACCAAGCTTGGGGTTTTTCTTGAACTTGTTATTTTATAATTTGGCTACATAACCAGTTGAACCAAATGACAAGTATGACTACCATAACTAATTGAGCCGATTAAGCTAGATTTTTTTCAGTTCTGCAATTAAATCGATTGAGATAGTTTTGCTCTTTTCCTAGTTGAGCCTTATCAGCTACTTCTACGATTTGCACCATTTCAACTATTTCAGCGAGCTGAGGTAGTTGGTGTATTTGAACCGATTAAGCTAGTTATGTGCTTTGTCCGGTTGAGCCGTTGCAGCTAGCTTCATTTTGTCATATAAGGTAGTTTGACCATTTTCATCATCATTATCATCTTTATTTGCCTTTTTTTAAAAATACAAAAATTTATTTACAGTGTTAACAGCTAGAAGACAAGAAGACACAGGAAGTCACCGGGCTTATGGAAGAGCCACCTCACTTAAAAAATAAATCAAGTTAACAAAAAAGTGCTGCGAATATGCGGCTTGGCCAATTCAGTGATTATTTAAGTAAAAACTCCTGCATTTTCGTCCTAAAGCTAAGAAGATTTGACGAACGAGTGACTGAAGCAGGAAGAGAGTTCCAAATTCTAGGACCTTGGTAGAGAATTGTAAATTGCTCGAGATTTGTACGGCACAAATGCGTTCGATAATTACTGGCTATTCTGGTACAATAGTTGTGAATTCGCCTATTCGTTACAAAAACATTAAGAATCAATTGGGGCAGTAAGTTATTTTTTTAATAAAACATAGATTTGGCGATTTCAAACGTATTGGAAAATATCTAAAATTCCTAGTTTGGAGAATAAGCGAGAGGAATGAGCTCGATAGTCTGAATTGGTGATAGCCTGCACAGCTCGCTTATGCCAGTAGTAAATTCTATTCAAGTTAGATATGTATGTGGACGACCAGGCGGAGTTACAATAGACGATATAAGGATAAATTAAGGTGAAGTGCAAAGTGAGTTTGGTTGTAGAGGATAGGAAAAAGCGAGACCTAGATGTAATACCTACTGATTTAGCGATTTGTTTACACACAGCTGATATGGTGCTTCCAGGTGAGATGATCGTCAGTATAGAACCCAAGGAATTTAGTCATATTAGATTGTTGTAGGGGTTTAGCTCCAGAGGAGAGAAAATTTTTGGAGTTAAATTTATTCTGTCTGGGTTTAAAAATATCGTAGTTAGATTTCTTTATATTAACTGAAAGCTTATCACATTTTAGCCAAACATCAATATTTTAGAGTTCATCATTAAGTTCGGATTCTAAGCAATTTGGGCTTGAGTGAGGATAAAAGATGCTGGTATCATCAGCGGAAAGCAGAGGGTCTGTTAATTCAGAGGCACTAGGGAGGTCATTTATGTATAGAATAAACTATAGAGGGCCTAAAATCGAACCTTGAGGGACATCTTACTTGATTGTTTTCATCAGAGAGCAGGCTTGATTGAATTGGACAAATTGTTGGCGGCAAGAAAAGTAGCTCCGCGTCGTGATTTCCTACGCTTATCTCGTGTTTTCCCAACCTCCCGCGTGTTTACATCAGGCTA